GACACGCTGGCTGAGGCCGACAGGGCAGGGGAGCCCCCGTCCCGCGCCGTCACCACCAGATCATAGGCCGGCACGCTCTCGCGGTCCAGGGCGCCATCCAGAACCAGCGAGTAGTAATTCTTGAAGGTGGACACCAGCTTGAAGGGGACATTCGGTGTCAGGGAGCAGGCTACCTCCCCACTGGCACCAGAGTCGGGGTCTGACACGCTGATCAAGGCGATGACAGTGTCTAGTGAAGCGTCTTCTCTAATTGGAAGTGAGAGAGATTTGAATTCTAAATCTGGAACATTATCATTTGTGTCTTCAATTTCTACTAGTACTGTACATTGACCAGAAAGTGGAAGTTGTCCCTTATCAGTCCCTTCTACGTGAATCTCATAGGATTTGCTTTCTTCAAAATCTATATATCCCTTTACTGTAATTTCTCCAATAATCGGATCTATGTGGAACTTGGATTTCACATTTGGTGAAATATCAGAAGAGAATGAATAAATGATGGCCCCATTCAAGCCTTCGTCTACATCAGAAGCATTCAGTTTAATTACCATTGTTCCATTAGAAACATTTTCTAGTAATTTCACAGTATAGAATGTTCTATCAAAAGTCGGAGCATTGTCATTGGCGTCAAGCACAGTGATAAGTAACCTAACGGTCCCCGTCAGCTCAGGTTTGCCTCCATCAGTGGCCGTGAGCAGTAAGGAAAGCTCTGGCGCTTCCTCCCTGTCTAAAAGTTTTCTTAATACAAGTCCCAGACGTTTTACTCTTACACCATCTGATGGTTTTGCCAGAGAGAAATACTCATTGGGGCTCAGTCTGTAAGTCAACAGAGCATTAGCTCCAATGTCTGCATCTGATGCGCCCTCTAGCGAAAAATAAGAGTCAAGCGGTCTGGATTCCGCGATAAACAAATTCCTTTGTGTGGCTGGGAACACTGGCGCGTTGTCGTTAATGTCCTTCACCTCCACGTCCACGTGGAAGACCTGCAGCGGCTTGTCCACGATCACCTCCAGGTGGATGCTGCACCCCGCGCTCCGCCCGCACAGCTCCTCGCGGTCGATGCGAGAATTCACAAACAGAATGCCGTTCTGCAGATTCACCTCCAGAAGGTCCCCGCGGCCTTTGGACGCCACCCGGAACAGGCGCGGCACCAGCTCCGCCAGCTCCAGCCCCAGGTCCTGCGCGATGCGGCCCACGAACGTGCCGTGTTTGGCCTCCTCGGGCACCGAGTAGTGAACCTGGCCGCTCCCCGCCTCCCAGGCTGCCAACAAGAGAAGAGAGAACAACTGGTACTGGGATCCCAGTTGGCTTTTCGGAGTAAAAACCATGTCAAATAGCGATTGTTTTCTTTTCTTCAGAAGGTCTTGTTTGTTAAAGAAAGAAAATAATGGATGATCCCAGCTCAGCTTCTGCCATCATTCAGCCCTCTGGTAAGAAGGCTGCAATAGCAGTTATTGTCTTTGAACATTAGCTAGAGATAACTTGATGGTAGACAGCGACATCATGTGGCTTCGATGACTAAGTAAGAACGAACTGTCATTTAAAATAGCTACTTTTGCCTTACAATCCATCGGTTTTTGCATAATCACTTTGTTCTTATCTGAGTTGTTTTATCAATTTACATTGGAGAAGGTATTTTAATCAGTCGCAGCAGAGGAAAACTTTCAGAAGTGGAAAGAATTATAATTAATAAAATTACGGATAATCCAAACTAGTCATAAACATTAAAAGTTTAAACTACCCTACACACCTTATGTAGAGAAGAAATATATTTATGCCTGTCACTGGGAATGCTAGTATGTATTGCTCTGGAAAGTAATGTTAAATTAGTAAATTTAAGGTAAATTTTTAAATGTAATAGACTATATATTTGTGTGTTCAAAGTATATAAAATATTCTTAATGCTATCACAAACAGCATATCTTGGAGAAAGTGCAGCCAGAATGCTCACTGGAAGCCAAATGACAAAGCCTCCTGTACCTGCTTTGGGCAAGTTGTTAGGAGGATTCCTTGGAAAGGTGACTGGCAAAAAAGAAGACCTTTAATGAGAGGGATTGACTCAGTATGTTAGAGATGGTGAAGATGGTACAGGACAGGGTTCAGATCTGTTGTTCATAGGGCCACTATAAATTGTAGTCAACCTAACAGCACTAAACAACAGTAACTCCTTCAAATTAATAATACAGGATGAAAATTTTAGTTCATATTATTTTTAGCATTTCTTCACTTCTCTGCAGCTTCCATATGATATGAAATACATTTTCGTCATTAGCTTTTCCACCATTGCAAATCTAGTGGAATTTTTATCCTTTGTCTGTTCTGTCTAGTGATCATCTATCCAAGTGCTCCTAAATATAATGTTCTGAAGTTACACACTCATTCTTCCTATTCTATATAATATTTTTTCTTTAAGTGTTCTAAACAACTTCCAAAGTTTCAAGTATTTTATTGATGATATCCCCAAATTCACATCTCCATTCCCTACTGCAATCTTTCTGTTTCACATGCTAACGGCTCCTAGAAGACAATGTTGTTAAAATAAATATATGGAGTAGTTGGCAATATCCTCGAATTAAAATCGTTGACATTCACTTTTTATATTAATGGTATGAACATGCTCCATGACATCTATATGACATATATTTTTGCTCCATCTCCCTTTTCTGTTATAGTCAAAGTCCACATGTTGACCTATCTTGTCAGATACTACCATATATGTATGAATCTTCATGAATATAAGTCTCATTGAATTGCACTAACCCTACAAATTCCAATGCATTAGAATCACTTTTAGGTGATCATACACTATTTTTTTTTTCTGTTTCACCTAGACTTTTCTCCAAAAAGAATCCCATTTTGAAGAAATATAGACAATTTGTTCTTACTCTTCACAATCCACACTCGTATTGAGGTGCTTTTAAAAAAATCATTTAAAAATAATTTTTTAGGTTTTAAAAGCGTTCTTTTTAAAATTTTATTCTTTTTCCTTTATTATTATTATTAATAATTATTATTTTAATGGAAATTTACAGAGACTTTGTATTTCCATTCATTCATTCTAAAAATAATTTTAAAAGGAAATATCCACTATGAAAATGTAGCCTTCAAATCAAAGTAAAATTCAACTGTTAATTTTAACCAATGACTACATGTTGAGTATTAGTTGGAAGTGATTAGACACTTCTTTCAGATGAGAAAATAAAGCCTTTATTTCAACACAAATTTATTTCCTTCCTCCAGTATACTGACACACTTGAAGAAGCTTCACAGACAACTGAGATAAGACTTTCTCCTAAGAGAAGTTCATTCTTTAAAAATTTACATGAGTTTATTTAGTGAGTTTTATCATCGATCTTTTATTATAATTGCTTTGGGCAAGTAAACAATTCCTTTGCTTTACAAAGATGCTGTGCTAGATGCTGTACCTGTTACTGAGTCCTGTAAAAAAAGTAATCAGAAAGGTTGTTAAAGTAACCCAGAAAGGTTGGTATTTGCACCTCTCCATCCTCAGAAGGTAAGTGTACTGACTCAAAGGGCAACTCAGTTGTATCGTGAGGCATTTATTTTTTTAAATACTGAAAATGAAAAACAGCAAGAACTGTTAAAATCTTCTCACCTAAACATGTTAAGATTTTCTCAACTGTACGAGTTCACATTACTTACCAGTATAGTAATTTGTATATTTAATAAATTGAAAATTTGTTTTAAATCATTATGCCACTAAATGTTGATGTTAAAGTAAAGGAAAAGTTAAAGTATTAATGTCTTTCACATAATGAAACATCACAGATTTGGGAGAAAGAATGAGAAATTTCTTTAATTAATAGATCGTGAACAAAACGATATGTTGTTGTTGTTGTTATGTGCCATCGAGTCGTCTGCAACTCATAGCGACCCTATGTACAACAGCCCTAAACCCTGCTCTATCCTGTGCCAGTCTCATTGCCTCTGACACACCCATCCTGATTACCCCAGTCACTGAATCAATCCA